CGACCGCTGTCTCCCTTCACCCACTTTTCTGTTGTCCGTCCCCCAGGGAGGGGGCAAGTCAATCATTGTGAGAGGTCCCCCCTTACTGAGAAGTTTGTCTGTCCTTGATTCCCTGTGTGGCGAGCTCTCATCTGTACCCATGTACGTTCTGGCCTAGTTTGTACACAAGCACAATATACATAGTCCAATTGACTTGGTTCGGTGAGAGCTTAGTCCTTGTGGTCGGGAGATGTGTTTCACCTGGCTCTACTGCCAACAGGATGTATGAATTTAGGTGGGTCGTAAGACCCGCTAGGACTGAGTTTCCTCGTCTTGAAAATGGTGCTCTTCTGGGCAAACAAGGGGACATATGGGAAAGCCTCCCTAGTGCGGGAAAAGGCTGGAACAGAATGTCAGTTGTTAATGACACAAGGTCTGGGGTCAGCTCCATTGAGGCCGAAGCCCAGATTGCCTGATGGAGTCGTTGATTGGCTCACTGACTTCCTCTGTAAAATACAGATCATAACAGTTCCTCTCTCATAAAGTCCTTTGAAGGATTAAGTGAAATTGCGTATGTAAAGCATTTCGTTCATAGCTTGGGGCACAGAGTACATACTCAAATAATGGTGGTAGAGATGCCGGTGATTTCTACCTCTAGGTGGCCCAGACAGAGCGAGGGGAGGTTTCTCTACGTTGTGCTGTGGAGTGTTTTAATTAGTTGCATCCTGCTCTCCGGGTGTCAGGGGGCAGTTGTTCAAGCCTCTTTTTCTTGATCCCACCACCATCACCAGAAGAAAGACAAAATTAAAAGCAAAAAAGGAGTCACTGTATCAATTGTTTTGTCTACATGACAGACAAATCAAGCATGTGAGGTTGGCCCGCTTTGACGTATGACCTCCAGCTAACAGCTCAGAGGACTCCTGACTCTACATTGTTCCGGAGATGGTCATTTCACTGAACTTTTGTGCTTTGGAAACTATGCTAAACAAGTGTCCATTCTGCATGCACAAAATAGTCTTAGCTAAGTAGAACGGGCATTTAAAAATGAGGTTCAACACATTCAAGCTATTTTTACTCATCAAGAATTAGCATGTTTAAATCCAATATCCTTTTGATCCATCTACCAAATGCCTAAATGTTTGGAATCTTGTTTATGTCTATAATGACTGATTCATTTTTGAGGCAGTCATTTTCCATCTTGATTTGTATATTTTAAAGTTGTTAAATGCTTGGCTGAACCATTAGCAAAACAATCCATGTATCATTAAACTGATTTCTAACATGTGATCATTTTCTGCCTTGCCCAATAGAGGGGCCTTTGAAGATTGGCTAAGATAGCCTGCATTCTTTGGGGGCCTTTTTTGTACAGAGGAGAGCTTATCACTAGCTAATTTCACAGCCTTAAATCTCTCTTCCCTCTACGTTGCCTTAAGAAACTCAGCCCAAGATGGTTTGCAGAATGCGTGCTCCCACACTGGAGAATGCCTATTGTACAGGACCAGAGGCAGCTCTCCTTTTCTGGGAAGGCAAACAGAGGGCGAAGGGAAGAGACAGATGGATGGAGCTAGAGAAGCAGAAATTCAGGGACGACGTGGGCCTTCTTCCAACCAACTGGGATATGCTCCACTGTGGGCTCACCAGGGGTCCTCATAGCCACAATGTGGGTAGAGTCGCATCCCCCTCTCCCTCCCACACCTTCCCATATCCATAAACAAGCGGCCCAGGCTTCCGGAGGATTGCAACTAACGAGGTCTCCGCAGACCTGTGTGTGCAAGCAGCCAGGGGCGGCGGGGCTGCTGCTGTGCCCTGCGTGAGAAACACTTCACTTTGGTCTGGACATCAGGACATCCTCCCCTCGGGTCCGGCAAGGTTGACGAAAACTGAGGAAAGTGGGGGCTGTTAAGGCAGGAGACCCGGGGACTGCCTGCCACTGCCCAGGAGAAGCCTGGCTGGCACATGGCCCCTTCTCAGCCTTGACAGCCCCACAAGGACCTTTGAACTTTCTATTTATATAACGGTTTCGCGAGTTGAGGTCTCTTCCTGTGTAACTGCCCGTTTGCAAGCTCGCCTCTAATTAGGCTACTTGTGAGACAGCACATAAAAACTACAAACCTCACATGCTGGCCTTCGTGCCACTCCCCCTGTGCACCAGACTTCGGATGTACCTGTCTCTGGGGGGGAGGGGGTGTTCATTTTCTCACACGCGTTTTCATTTGTCACACTGTGTCCGGCTTTGTATTGTCCTGGTCCTGCTTTCTTCCATAATGAAAGAGATGAGGAGCCCATTCCTTCCCCCACACCTGTCAGAAAGCAATTCCTCTGCCCACGGCAGGGGCTGCTTGCTCCACTGAAAGGTTGCACACACCTTTGAGGCCGCCCCCCACCCCACCCACCCCCGGAAACTTGCTTGTATTCTCTGGTCAGTAGAGATTAATGGCAACTCCTCTGCTGTCTTTCTCGGTAAGAGCAAGTGGTGTCTGGGGTGCCTTACTTCCCTTTCCCAGAATGTTTCATATTAAATTCAAACTCAGGTGAACATTGCGCATTCAGCCAGGAATCTTAGGGAACTTGAGCTTTGGCCCTTTAATCAAGTCCAGAGTCTGACCCTTAAAGATAGTCTGGCAGTGGAATCCAGTGATACATCCTGGATGCTAGCGCCAGCAACCCCCTCCCTGACCCCTCCCCCAATGGGTACCTCCTCATCCCCTCCTTCCTTGCGTGTTCATCTGTGTGTGTTTATAAATGGGCACGCACTTTTTGTTTACTATACTCAAGTGTTTGCAAAGCATACATATGCCCGTGTAGAAAAAAGGGTTTATTCATCATGTCTAAGAAAATGAGTTTGGTTTGAAGTGGCCCCCACCCACTGATTGTCAGACATCTCCGGTTGCAGGAGTGCTAGCTCACAGCTCTCTGCCCCATGAGCAAATGTCAATCCTAGTCCATTGTAATTGAGAGCCTTAAACTTTGCTGGTGCCTTTTCTTCCTGGGGTGGGGCTGGCGGGGAGGGGAGGGTGCCATCAGGCTAAGCAGCTACCCCTAAGGAGGGGACGTCCATATGCAGTGAACATGGACCTGGTATGTTCTGGATATGCAAAGATTGGGGAAGGGTCCAGATTTCCTTTGGAGTCAAGCTTTCTAGTCCATCCATGAATGTCAGATGTCCGTGCTTTGTTTCTCTGTGGGGGTATACAGAGCACAGAAGCACAACCGCATTACAAATGTTTATAAACACAGTTGTATAAGGAAACTTGTCCATCCCAATCAAAGCGTCAGAGAGAAGAATGCTCCTGGAGCACATGCAGAGAGGGGAAATTGGAGCTTCTTTATGCAGGCGTGTTATACTAATTCATCTTTATTCACATAATATTCACGGAGTATATAGCACACAGGTCTGAATGCTTCTTAACTGATGTTGCATAGCGAGGGATCTGGAGAGGAAAAAAGGGGAGGGGGCTGCCTTTTCCTTAGAAAAACAAAATATTGGGGGGGGGATTAGACCTAAAAGAGGCTACCCTCTTTAAATGTGCAACCACATGTACATAAGGTTAAACTGAAAATAAAACATCGCAATCAGCACGCTCTTCCAAAACCTAGTGCCTTGTATATGTTTAACACTTGAACTACACCCACGGAATCTGTTATAACAATGTCTGTTAAATAAATAACGTTACCCACGCCATATATTAGGCAAATTGTATGCAAATCGGTGTGCTGCGGTTATCAGCTATCGCAAAATATAAATTAAGGGAGCAGACTTAAAAGCAATGTGTGGATCCCACTAAAGTGTGCAGTCATTTCACTGTGATTGTTACTTTTAAACACCGATAGTGCGGTCGCTTCAGAAAATGTCCTGTTCTTCTACAGAACAGATAAAACCCTGCGTGGGATCAAACACTCCTCCAGATTCAGACTGATGCCGGGCAGTGGTGGTTGCAAGGATTTACCTGCAATGGCTGGACAAGGAAATGCCTTTAACTTCGGATTATCTTGGATTTGCAGTTACAGGAGTCACTATTGGCATAACGAGGCTATTGGCTAAGCCAATGACCCTTTTTAAAAGAAGGAAATTGCCTAAAATGTCAGATCAAGCGGAGAAATCCTTGTCCAAATACAGTGTTCTCAGGCAACGGCCGCTAGTACTTTTCACGTTGCGAAAGATTTCGCAGTATCGTCAGCACTATAGGTGATTCTAACTACATTTAGCCACCAGTGCAATTCTAAGTCGCCGCCGTCCCCGCGCCATCCCCGCATCTCATTCCTTGGGCTGTGGGGAATATCGACATGTTCAAACGTTTATGCCAAACGCACACTATTGCGCTCTTCGTAGAAGGTGAAGTTTGGGGAAAGTTAATAAATATGTAGATCAGTATTTCTGCCCGCGCGCGCGCACACGCGCGCGCTTGGAGCACGCCAAGAGTAGCAACTTTCCAGGCTTCCCAGTCACCTCTGCACCATCTTTGGCGACAAGTTGAAGGCATTTTTGCCGGAGCTGACTCAAACCCATGCCTCCGAGCTGCCTGGTCCCGACACAGACCTCTGGCTGCCCTCCCAGTGGGAAAGGACTTGCCAGGACGTCGGAGCAGAGGACTTGGGGGCTAACTTCCAACACCCTCCACCTCGCCAGGGGAGCGCTGAGCTCTGCCCAAGCCCGGTCCCCACGCGGTGGCTGAGCTGGTGGAGGGAAGGGGGAAGGTGCGCCCCGCGCGCGCCGCGCAGGGGCAGTCCTCGCCTTCTGGACCCCGGGAAAGTTGGGGCCCCTGGGGCGAGTCGAACCCTGGACCCGATCAGGCGGTCCCCAATGCCATCTGGGCAAAACGCACCTCCCGGGCCCTAGAGACGCAGCGACGCACTGGGGACCTGCGCCCTCCCTCCCCGAGGGGCTGCGTAGCCCGGTGGGCTAACCAAAGCGAGTGGGAGGGCGTCCGGCGCCCCCCAACCGCCTCGGTCCCCGTAACAAAGGCGGCCAGCCCGAGCCCGCCGGCTAGCGCGTCGCTGGAGAAGGCACGAATCCCACCTACCACTGCTGCTCCAGGTCCCAGTCCCGGAAAAAGTCGAATAGATCCATCGCGGCGGCGCGGCTGCGGC